GAATCACGGTGTTAAAAATGAGGGTCGGGGTCAATCACATTAAAAAGGTGTTTCCCATGAGGCACTGCTGGGATTTGAACCCAGGATCTCCTGTTTACTAGACAGGCGCTTTAACCAACTAAGCCACAGCACCTCCTGTCCACACATCCTCACACACAGATATTTATCTCCACCATCAGCAAACATCGAATATCGTCACACGCCACCTGCTGGAGGAAGCTCCACGTCCAGCTTGACAAACGCCTTTCTCTTCTCCTCCAGCATCTGACTGGGGATCAGCCCCGTGTTTCCACCCTCAACGTGACGAGCCTGTGTGACAAACACACCCAGGTGTGTAAACACAACGCAAGATCCAGAAACACACACACACACACACACACACACACACTCTCTCTCTCTCTCTCTCTCGCCGCCCTGCTGGTCTTCACCTGCCACCAGTTGACATCGTCCTGGTTGACGATCTGGAGGATGTCGCCCGTCTCGAACCTCAATCCCGCCTCCTTACATGGGATAAGGTTGTCGTTGGCCGGGTCGTAATCGTAGTGACACTTGAAGAACACCTGAGCCAACGCAGTCATCATCATCATCATCATCATCATCATCATCATCATCATCATCATCATCATCATCATCATCATTCTGGGTTTAAATCTGTGTCACCTGTCGTGGGGAGAAGGTCTCATGGTAACTGGGCAGGATCTTCAGAAGAATACTTCCACTGGCTGCCTGCAGCTCCTCCTGGATAACCCTGGGGTCACGACCCACCTCCCGTCCGTTCACCTGGCAGAAGAAAAAAAATCTGAGTAAAGAGGGGAAAGATAAAGGACCGGGTATAGAACCCTGAGGTACACCACGGGCTTTGACAAGCACATATTTAGGGGCTTCTATTACAGTTTTTAGGACTAATCTCCAATAAATAAACTGTGGAACCGATTATGGTTCAATTAACTCTAAGTACAAGTAAAGAGCAACGACAATTGTTGCCTACAGGGGGCACTATGGCCTTTGAGGGGAAAAAATATTTATTTAAAAAATTTTTTACATGCTAGCTTGAGGAGCAAGCTAGCACCTGTCGACGGAAAACTTTGGGAATTCCTGAACTTAGAAATACTAATGAGTCCAGTTAAGGAGGACAAACTACTACAGTAATCAGGTAATGTACCTCTTTGATGATGTCACCAACATGCAGCAGTCCCTGCTGGTCCACCATGCCACCGTGGAGGATACGGGCGATCACCAGCTCACCCCCCTCCACCTTAAATGTCACCCCCTGAAACACGAATTACACACAAATGTCATGGACAAAATAAACTGCAGTGGATTGAAGTACAACTACACAGTGGAGTACATGAACTGCAGTACAACTACCCAGTGGAGTACATGAACGGCAGTACTCCCCGGTGGAGTACATGAACTGCAGTACTACCCAGTGGACCTACCAGATGCTCCCCCGCCACCTTCCGTATGCCCACCATGCGTATAGCCTCAGGCGGGGGCTGCACGCTGTGTGTGGGGCCTTCCTCTGGTTCATGGTCCACCAGATCACAGGGGCTGGGGGGGGGGCTGTCACACGTCTGCGACGCCACCGAGTCGTGCGTCTCCAGTAACGACTGAAGAAAAAAAAAAAACAGGATTCAGGTTAAATCACCGAACAGATCTGACCCAGGACGAGCTGTAAGTTCAGTGTGTGTGTGTGTGTGTGTGTGTGTGTGTGTGTCTCCCCCACCTGGAAATGAGGCTGGGTGAGTATGTGGGTGAGCTCGGCCGCGGTGTCGGACTGCTGCGTGAACGGGTCCAGGTCTCTGAGGATCTCCTGCAGGAGCTCCACGTTGTTGTCCCTGACGGGCGACGGTCGGACCTCCTTCAGACTCTCCTCCAGCTCCTGACACCAACACGTCACACGGGGGGTTAGGACTCAGAGTGTGAGGAAAAAACGGACACGCTGAGATGCTCTACGTGTACGTGTGTGTGTGTGTGTGTGTGTGTGTGTGACCACACCAGAGGATTCTCCATGATGCCTTTGAGGTAGAGCAGGTCCAGGTCGTTGGCTGTGGTGGAGCTGGTCGTACTGTCACTCATCATGTCCAACGCCTGGGGCGCTGCAGCAAACACACGGACACAGGAAAAGGTCAGGAGGGGGCGAGGGGTCATGGGGGGTCAGGGCCG